ATTATTTTAAGAAATAATTTGGTAGTCAAATCTCTTCTTTATGTTTCTTCATGGTTAAATTATAAATTTGTATTTGTATTTATTTTACGTTATCAAACGTTGATCTATGCACATCAGAAAAGGATAGAAGTATTAAAATCTTTACGCATTAAGTATTAGTTATAGATATTTAACTTTTTTTATACCTATAATTACCATTATATAATTTTAATTATTAACAGAACACAAATTTCCGTTTCTAAATACATTATTATACTCCTATTATCCGACATACTATTTTTCGAATCGGGCAATTTTCCCTTATACAGCGGACGTTCAAAACTTGAAACATACGTATAAAAAGTAGAACTTTTTCTACTTAATTTCTGAAAATGTTTCGGAAATACTGCGTCCTTTAAGCATATATTAAATAAAAGCTTACATTATGTACTATAAGTTAAAAACTTAAAAAAAAAAATTACCTATATTTTATGTGCAAATGACCATCAAAATTAAACAAAAGATGTTGTATTGGTACTTAAAACTGCCATAATTTTTTGAAAAATCAACAAAACAAAATAATTTATTTTATATTAACACCTTATGTGTTTCCCTTTCATTTGATATCAATTTTATAATAATCTGACCCTTTACCTACCCACAAGAGGGGGTTTTAAATAGCAATTTTTTTACAAAACTGAACTTTTTAAACATAACTTCTGTAAATGTTCCGGAAATACTACCTCCTTTAAACATATATCAAATTAAAGCTTATGTTACGTATTATAAATTAAACAAAAAAATTGTCTAGATGACCAATCTTCTTTATGCAAATGTCTACCATAGTTAAAAAAAAACATGTTATTTTAGAAATAAAAAAAATATCTCAAACTTATGCTACCATTAAAAATGAATTTTCTACATTAAAATGTAGTATTAAAATACTACTACAATTTTTTAAATCGCTTATCCTAATTAAATTTTAATAGAGTATACTAAGATAATAAGCTTTATTTTGTTGTACATTTAATGAAAATTCTATATACAGGAAGAGTTTGTAAAAGACCATCTATGTATGAAAAAATTTTGCTTTCAATTCCATTTTTGAAAATATTTTGGGACGTCTGCTTTGCCTTTTTTTACCCACATCAAAATAAAGCTTTTAAAATGAACTACAATAATTAAAAAAAGTGTTATCCAAAGATTGTTTTAGTATGAGAAATCGACAGTTAAAATAAAAAATAGTTTAATAGTTGAGTAAAATTACAGATATACAAATTATTGTAAAATTTACAGAGACGCATGAAAGCGATCNGCTTTTAAAATGAACTACAATAATTAAAAAAAGTGTTATCCAAAGATTGTTTTAGTATGAGAAATCGACAGTTAAAATAAAAATAGTTTAATAGTTGAGTAAAATTACAGATATACAAATTATTGTAAAATTTACAGAGATGCATGAAAGCGATTTTTATGATAGTGATGTTAATTACTGTCAGATATTATGTATATATACTGTTTCAAACTGTTATAGACAGATTACTCGTCTTTCACCAACATAAACACTTAACGACTACACTAGTTCCTAGTGACAAACATCTATACAACCTAACTATGACTATGCGACACCCGGGTTTAAACAGAACTGATTACATGCTTATTTTAATTAATTCAAAATACGTCGAAGTCAGTCAACATATTACCACTATTGTAGAAACTGATTCTTATACATATAACTTATCGTTATTGTGATCATTATAATTATTATTAATGGAGTTATGTGCACGCTCGCCACTATCGACTCACCTCACTTGGATTACCAGCCAACATCTCTTGAGATCCAGTCAAGTTATAATTATGCATAACATTTATATAGGAATAAACACTTGTTATCGTTATTAATTGAGTGGTCGTATTTTATTAGTCACAAAACGTCTAACAGCACTGTTTGTTAATGAGCGCCCTTAAGCAAAGACCTAGTGGACCAGTTGTCACAAACACCGTGGATTATATTATATCGGATGACAGCTGATCTCTAGCGTCTTTGATTTACTCACCAGTTTGCCCACCCAGCATAGCAAATCGACGGTATACATGTCAATTGTCAGCCGTTTACTGTTCATCGTCGTAAATCAATAATTTGAAAGGTTACAAATATATAAAAATCAAATTAATTGGCCTCAACGAAAAATTTGTAACTTTCATGGCGTTTTACAAAGTTATAAGTAAAGGGTCGCCAACCTACTGGGCGAGACAGTATATTGTCGGACCACAGTAGGATTTTAAAAAAAAAATTAACTTTTTTATATTAAAAAAACAATTAGAAAAAAATATATAATTAATAAATATTAAAGTTGATGTCCGTTGAGTCGTTGATAGTAGATGTACACCAAAACCTCGTGACAGTTGTCACATAACCATATAGATCAGGGATGACCTTATACAAGGCCGTTGCCCGTACCTTATAAACTAGGGGAGTTGATTTTTGAAAGGAGAAAAAAAAATACACGAGTCCATTGAAGATGGAACACTCAAAAAAGAAGAAAAAGATGATGGTTAAGTTAAATTAAGGGGACTTTATTAAGTAAAACAAAAAAACAAAAAAAAATTAAGTTACTACGAGGCAAAAAACCGAATGGTCAAAAAACCTCGTCTACAAATTAAAGGGGAAAAAGAAAGAAAAAAAAAATAGATATTAATGAAAAAATAGTTACACCTACACTTTTATTATTAGAGAATACGATGAACGTCTTCGGGTACCCGCCGGCTATTAATCGCAGCATTGCCGCTAAGCACGGCGGGTATATGTCCCAAGTAAGCGACTGGTTTCTGGCAGTTAGGCTTAGCTTGCAAGACGTTGGGACACCCCGGAATAAAATGCACTACGTCACCACATTGTACCAATAATATATACATATCACTCATAAAACATCATATAAAACCTATAATAAAACATATATAACATGACAGGTGGTATTGGAACACGCCTGCCATGTTGAGGGACCTAAATAAAAAAATATAGGGACACCTACAAAAAAAAACTATATAAAAAAATATAAAAAAAATTCGCCACACGTACTTATGGCACGGCGCACTAAAATATAACTGGCTCAAAACATTATATAATAAACTATACATTACCAGCCCCGAAGGACTAACGAATATGGAGGCAGGTTTAGCCGACGCCAATATAAAAAAATTACATAATCACAACATAGCGGACACTCGCGAAACTATATATACAAAATTAACAGTTGCAGCGCACACAACAAAAAAAAACTGCTGTGGACGAAAATTAGCGACGACCAGTTCCGATGATGGCTAATTTCCGACAACCCGTCCGACGTTTGACCCGGCGGTCCGTTGGCGACCAAACGGCTAGCCTTTAGAGTAGGGGTCAAAAAATAACTAAATACCCAGTGCTGGAAATTATTAAAAACAATTTAAATCATATGGCGACAATATATGCGGTGAGCAGTGCAAATGACGTTCAAGATAGGAAAGGAGCGGGCTGAATGTACACACAAATGCCGTCCATGAACCGGTCTGAAGTAGTACACAGCTGACTATCTCGCACGCGCATAAACAAATCACAACATCTTATCATGATAATTTTACCGACAAACGCCGTCACAGTCCGCATTCAGCTCAACACAAATATATATATATATACAAATAGACAAAAAAAAATAAATAGATGCTTTTGTCACGTTACAGAGTGAATGTTTTTGTGCGCCATTGTTTACAGCAAGCGCTTTTGCTTATCCGGTCAATTGTTCGGTAAATGTACGCCGTTATTTTTATTATTTGTTTGTTGCACCCTTGTGCTCTTGCACGCCACCAAGATTTGAGATTGAAGTATCTTTAATATATGCAGTTATTTAATTATTCTCTACGCGTCATTTATTGGATGGATATGCGGTTAGCCGGCATCCCACCAGACGACCCCTCTAACCTGTTCCCATAGTAACTGTAAACAGGCTTAAGGCAAGACAGTAATTTAGTGTGGAGCACAACTAGGCGTTCTATGGACTAGGTGCCTCTAATGATATAAAAATATACAGGGCCAGCATAGTCCCTTTCAGGAACAGCATAGCCAGCTGCTAGGATCCTAGCGGAAAAATACGTTATACAACTATATTGCTCCTATATTGTGCTTGGTTTTGTTACTCTTTCTTTAAAATTTTTAACTATTCTAAGATGTATATATTAGGCTTACCCTTAGCTATATAATAAAGTAAAAATGAATTTATATTCGGACACTATTCGGTATCAGGCGTATTGAGCTAATATATCGGTAGTAATTAATATTCGTCTCTTCGGCGTTATTTATAACTATTCGGTCAAATTTTATTGAACCTAATAGTTGAAAAAAAAAAATTTTATTTTATTTAAATTATTTTAGTGATGTTTTGTTTTTTTTTTTTTAACGGCAGCGTTGATCAGTCTGTGATTAACATTATCATCGGTCATATTTTTACTCCTTTATCTAAGTGTTAATTACAAATAGACTTGTAGTTATTTTTTTCTATTTTTATTATAATAATATAATATTAATTATAGTAATAATATAAATTTATTCTAAGTTTATTTTACTAAAATCTCGTTGTCGTTACCTACCGCTATCACGATATAATTAGTCGTTAATAAGTCAAGAAATGCATGTAACTAAATAACACCAAAAAATTTTTTCCCAATATTGTATTTATTTTTGCGATTAACCGAGTGGTATATGTTAAACCGATCAACCTGTTCTTAAAAATTGTTTGGGTAGTGGGGTCCAGATTGTTTTTAAGACACATTAATGTCTATAGAGTTTTCAGTCATCGAGTATTCCCTAAAAATAAGTTACTAATTAATAGATAATACTAAACTTTAAAATACCTTAGGTTTTTCTTCTTAAAGGATATGAAACTGAATTCTTTATAAAATACAAAATATTTGTTCTACATTTTTTTTACCATCAGTAAAATGTATATTTTATCAAACTTTAGTTTTATTTTATAATATCCTAATTATGATAAAGTAATAATGTTTTAAAGAATCAAATACGATAATATTGAAAATTTATTTCAGAATTTGCATATACAAACGAGTTAAGGAAAAAATTAATAAAAAGTATTACTGTACGAGTATTCACTAAAAATACATGCAATACATGTTGTACAGAATGAGTTTCTGAAATAATCGATTCAATTATTCTACTTAAAATTTTAATGTATAGAAATCATCATCATCTTTATCATATTGCGGAGGTGGAGTAATTGGACATTCCACATATTTTGTCACTCCAATACAGTCAGATGTTATTTTATCATAAATAAAACCACATTGACGATTATTATAACTATTTAAGTTTATATTTTCCTGAAAGCATTTTAAAATGTAGGAAATTTTAATATCTAATGGTAAATTTTGTTGTTGCATAGTTTTTTTTAAAATAATTTCACTAGTCGATTTATTTTTGCCAATTTCTGGTTCCATATGCTTTTTGAAAAATTTATTTATCATTTCATATAATAAATTTAGTTTAATTAAAGTATCATCGGATGTTAATGTATCTGTGTTTTGAGATATTATAAGAAGATTATCAATTACTTTATGAACTAAGTTTGTTAATTTAGGTTTATCGCCCAACCATCGAGAAAAATGAAGTAAAGAATTTTTCATTTTAATAAGTTCCACAGTATATTCTATTATTTTTTTTTTTAATTGAATTTCGCAAGATTTTGGATCTACTTTTATACATAATTTACATAATTCTTTTACATAGTATACATAGTTTTTCAATCCTAATCCATAGTAGCAGCTTAATAATAAATGGTACTGTATTACCTTTTCTTGGAAGTTATATTTCGTAACAATTTCAGTAGTGGAGTCTGGAAACAATATGGAAGCATCAATTTTTTCAACTTTTTCGTCAAATAATAAAAAAAGTGGTTCTGTATTTAAATACATTTTGATAAATTCAACACCGTATCTCCAGTAAGGATGAGTAAGCATGTCATTCACTTCGTTGACATAATCATTTCCTTTTAATGATTGAAAAGTGATATTACTCAATATGAAAAAAAACAAACATTTATGCAACATACTTTATAAAAAAAAATCTTTTAGAAAAGATGTTATACGATAATGACAATTTTTCAAACTGAGCTTTGAAAGTTAAGTATTAATTATTTATTGTTTCTCTTTATTATTTGATCATTCAAAAAAATTTACATAGCTGTTGGCATGAAACTCTAAAAATATATTATTTTTGCACTTTTACATTACATATAAAAATATAATGATAAATTTATTCATAATTATAATATTATTATAATATATATTCCAAGTAATAAAATATTAAAAATGTAATTTAAGTGGTGATAATCAGTTATCGCACTGGACACTTTAAATTTCAGATATACTCAAGAAAACTTGTAAATATGTTTCATCAAAAAACTCTCCAATTTTTATTATAAACAATTTTTTGAAATTCATTTGTAATGGTCAAAGAATGTGATTGCATGATCCTTTTTTAGAGAAGTTATTAATGGGAATGACTTTTATTACATTGGCATTAGAACTGAAATAAAATATAATTTATAATATATTTTTAAACTTGAAATTTTAATTTAAAATAACATATATTTTATTCCAATTTTGAACAATAGACGCTAATTTTAATTAACACATTCATATTTTAATTAAAATAAATTTTATTAAATTAATTAATTAACTTCTAAAAAACTCGAAAATTAAACGGAATTGAATGTTTAAAAACGTTTAAGTAAAATTAAATATTATCAACTTCACTCTTGAAAATGTTCCAAAAATAACATATCATTAAAGCATATATCAAATAAAATCATGTTATATGTAAGCACTAAGTTAAAATAAATATAGTTTAAAAAAACTAAAAAAAAACACGCTTTTAAAGCACATCGAACTAAAAAGTTAAAAATAATTTTTATAATTAGCTTAAAACAATAATGTACGAAAAGTACTAGTATTATTGTGATAAAAGCGTGGATGCTTTGTGCCATATTTTTCGTATATTTGAGCGCCCGACTCTTTTATCACAATAATACTAGTACTTTTCGTACATTATTGTTTTAAGCTAATTATAAAAATTATTTTTAACTTTTTAGTTCGATGTGCTTTAAAAGCGTGTTTTTTTTTAGTTTTTTTAAACTATATTTATTTTAACTTAGTGCTTACATATAACATGATTTTATTTGATATATGCTTTAATGATATGTTATTTTTGGAACATTTTCAAGAGTGAAGTTGATAATATTTAATTTTACTTAAACGTTTTTAAACATTCAATTCCGTTTAATTTTCGAGTTTTTTAGAAGTTAATTAATTAATTTAATAAAATTTATTTTAATTAAAATATGAATGTGTTAATTAAAATTAGCGTCTATTGTTCAAAATTGGAATAAAATATATGTTATTTTAAATTAAAATTTCAAGTTTAAAAATATATTATAAATTATATTTTATTTCAGTTCTAATGCCAATGTAATAAAAGTCATTCCCATTAATAACTTCTCTAAAAAAGGATCATGCAATCACATTCTNGCGGATTGGTTTGTTGACGTCATCACTTTGACAATGGGAAGAAGACTACGGTATCATTAGCGGCGGGACGTCGTCGGCTGTGCGGCACTTGCTGGATTTTGCACCGCGGCGTGTCAAATACTCATAAAATAGAGCGATGGCTGATAAAGGTGGCACGACTCGTGGGGCATCGTGTATAACAAAATGACGCGGGGCCGTGTCAATTACAATAAAAATTTGTTATATATAAATATATAATTAATGACACGCACGCGTATACGGGTACGAAAACCAAAAATAAAATTATACAGGAAAATTGTGTTAGTGATGAGTGGTGAGCGGGGTGGGGTGAATGCGTTACGACAGTCTAGTCTCAAGGTCATACACGACGGGATACGCGACATAATAACACGTGCCGCGTAGAGTTACAAACTTACAAACGACTAACGACAAACATACATGTGAAACTAATATAAGCGTGTTAAAAATATTTGTCTTTATGACTTAACTTCTATGATCTGTTAAAATAATTAAAATAATACAATTTTTTTTTTTTTAATCGCTTTTTCCGTGCGAATGATTTATATATATATTAGCTTCGATGCGAAGCTGAGAAAGTATTGGTTTTACTATGATGTGTTTTTTTTTTTTTGTGTCTGTTACCACTTTTTCTCAGCTCTCACCGAACGGATTTCTTTCAAAGATACGTCAAAAGATCACAAATCGTATCTAATCCAAGACATTACCCTTAAAAATTGAAAAAAATTCCCCCGTTCCCCGTAAATGGGGGAAACCTCTAAAAAAATTACAAATTTTAAAATCGATAATTTTCGAAATTTTTTCAATTTTTTNTGGGGGAAACCTCCAAAAAAATTACAAATTTAAAAATCGCTAATTTTCGAAATTTTTTCAATTTTTTTTACTAAAATGTGCCGTAACTTTTTCAAAAATGAACATATCAATATAATTTTTTTTTATATAGATGCTTGATGTCTTTACTTATCATTTGGTCTATTTTTTTTGTAAATTGACCCTTTATCTGTCCACAGAGGGGGATTTAAAATAACAACTTTTTTACAAAAAATTAACTTTTTCAACTTAACTTTTGAAAATGTTCCGGAAAATTTGACACTTTTATATATATCTTAAATTAAAGGCAATGTAATATACTTTAATTAAAAAAAAAAAAATTTGATCTCTAAACTTGTCTTCATGGTGAAAATGGCTATCGAATGCTATTTTTGTGTGAAAATTCTCGATTTTATAATTTACATTTTTAACTTTATAATATAACTTATTGAAAAGTGTATGGATCAACATAATTTTTTATGAGTAATAATATTTTTTAAAAATCCCTTTTTTATTCAACATACTTTATCTTAATCAAGATATTAATAAGGAACTAGCAGATCACATTGGAATAATACACCAATTTTTTAAAATTAAACACTATCTAAAGATTTGCATCGAAGCATTATTTTTTTATAGTGATTTTAATCAATGTCAGATATCATTATACTTGATCCAACTATGCCACGACCCCCCTGTGCTGGTTTTTTTTTTTTTTTTGTATTATATTTTCAACAATTAATCATTTATTATCAGTCAACTCCAGTTTATAATGTATATGTAGGAGAAACAGTAAAGTAAAATAGTTTCAAAAAAACCAGCATAGAGGGAATATTTGGGATAATTATAAGTGATATTTAACAGTGATTACATTTTTTAAATAATTCTTCAATGCAAGTCAGTAGATAGTGTTTATTTCTTAGAAAAAATGTTTGAATTAATGATAAGGTAGTAAAAAAAAAAAAAAATTAACCTGTTTAAAAAGTAATAAAATTATTATCATATTTCAGAGGACATTATGAGTTGGAATGTGGAATTTGATGACGAAAAATGTGCTCGAGAGACTGTTGAATTATCTCTACTCGTGTTCAAAGAATATGAAGAAAAACACTGGAAGAAACAAAAGTTAAATAACTACTTTAATAATAATTGTAATAAATAAATTTATAAATGTAATAAAATGTACAATAAAGTAAATAAATTTAAATTTAATAATTAAATGTAATAATTGTGAAACATAAATAACTAAAAGTTATACCTTAATTATGTATAATAGTAATTGTTTTAAATTAAATAATAAAAATTATTATACTTATATTTAATTTTTTATGTCATAAATTAGACCAACTTGTGTACTTCACTAGTCATAGCGTTATACTCAAAAATCTTATCATGTAGTATAAGACAATATGGTGATGTATCGTCTGGTATAGGAATTTCAGTTTCGAATTTAATTTGAACATCAGCGGGAGCGCTCTTAACTTTTTCATTTTGTTTAGAGTAATTGAAAACAACCATAGACGCGGTATTTTTAAATTCTACTTTAGTCAAAATAGGATCAATATTATAGAAGCTATCTTGAAATGACGAGTACATCTGATATAATGCTAAATATTTATTGTTATTGAAATTAATGTTTAAACTGTCGTAAGGATATGATTCCGAATTCAAAAATACTTTGAGCGATGATAAAGAACAGTGATCAAATCGACTTATATCAGCTGTTATTTTGTCATTACATTAAGTGTGAAATTTTATAATCACATATCTAGGTTTTTCCGTATGCGTTGATGTTTTAACGGCTCACGAATGTTTTGTAGTTTGTGGTAAATATAGATGTTCAAATAATTCCCAACTTCTAAAAACGATATAAAGTGGTTTACGAGAATCTGATGTCTTCAACAGTTTCAATCTAACACTGTCCTCTAAATTTAATTTAGGCATTCTCAACATTTTTTCGACATTTTTATTTTACCATTCGCTCGCTCACACTTTAATGATTTTATATACACGCTGGATCTATGCAATATTAATTCTTGTCGGGAATTTATTATTATTTTATTATGATCTTACACAAATCCCATATTTACTTTAAGAAGTGTGCAACTTTCATTCCATCCGGCGTTTTGATATCGGTAAAGGTTATGTATCTCTTCACCTTTCATACTTGTAATACTAGGATTTCTTACTTTATCAATTTCAACAGATTTTAATTTGTAACGAATTTCATCAAAAAGGAATTTAATGTCATTTTTTATTAATTTTATGGAAGTTTCTCCATTTCCTATTTCTATATTTCTTTCAACTTCACCTTCAATGTGTAGAAACGATTCGCTGGGTAGAGTATACAAATTATGATGTTTTATTGCAATTCATAGTGCATCGTTATTCGACAGCGCATTATTAAAAAACGGTTGATACGAATGATTCTGAAATTTTGATATACTTTCTTCAAAGTACGGGTTTTCGTGTATGTTCAGAATGTCTTCTATTACGATTAATAAGTGTATAACCAAGATTAAAAAGAGTAGTCAAACTCTCCCTTGTTAACTCTGGAAGTTTTGAAATTAAACTTTTGTCAACTTCATGAAAACGTTTCTTTTTAACGTTATATTATATACTCATATCGAATATGAACATAAACCGTTACATTTTTTCCTCTGACATCGACAAGCTCTCCGTTCTGATCTTTAATTTCGATTTTTATCTTATAACCGAGTGACACCAATGGATTTACTTGTAAATAGAACACGTCTTGCGTCCGTTAACAATATCACACTCTATGCTTATACACAGTAGTAAGTTAATATTAGCCATTTGTTCTGATTCGAGTACGATACCGCCTTCAAACATTCTTTTACTGAATCCGAAAAATTCTCCTATGTTATTTTTTGCTGTGAAATCTACTGTTTTATCGCAAAACATTTCCGATTTCAATGTATTCACATTGGATTTCAAGTTGAAAATAATATTATATTTTTTCAATTCATCTGAGAGATATTTACGTATAATATCTAACTCGAATGATCCTATTGGTATTGTTAAATCAATAATGGATTCATTAGCAGACTCTGAATTTTCAAAGTAATCGTTATAGGTTAAAACACGAAAAAAATTATTTTTTAAAAAATAAAAATTATTTCACTAATATTTGGCAAGCTTGTAAACTTAAAAGTGCTAATTCTGTCATTCCATCTAATTAAATGGGTGGTAAAAAGGTACTGATCATTCTAGACTGGTTACCTTAAAATAATAACGTTAAAAAGAGTTGCATCGTTCCAGTAAAAATTTCAAATACATTTGTCCACACACGAACCTATTGAATTCTTGTACACGAGTGTAATTAAATTTTATACGACATCCTTTTAAATAGGAGCGTAATTCTAAAGGCGGTGGTAAGTTGCCATACGAGTCAAAATAAAAAATGGTTTTATTTTTTTTATAATACGCAACCCGTGTGTGCCTTCACCAATTTCCAGTGATTAAAATCATTATCATAAGAAACGCATTGATGCAAATCTGTAGATAGTGTTTAATTTTACGAAATTGGTGTATTATTCAAAAGCAAAATTCTAACTCAAAAGAATTAAGGAAAAATTGCAAAAAAATCATTGCTACAGTGAATGAGTTTTTATGAATTCGCAAATGTTAGTCATACTTATTTTTTTACAAAAGTGTCAATTTAAGCTTAATCAAATGTTAAAATTAATATTTTTGACTTAAACGAAAAAAAAATTAAAATAAATTTAACTTAATATTCTATGTCAATTAGATTTATATAATATTTATGAAAATCAGTGTTCCCCATTATAAGGTCTACTAGAATAGATTAAAATACAAAACTCAACATTTTAACACAAAAATAGAATAGTTTTGATTATGATAATGCAATAAATAAAATATTTATATCAAATGAAAGAAAAATATCTTAAGTTACAATATAAAAATTTGAAAGCACTCTGTAACGATCAGGTGAATTCAAAGCTGGTCCTCGAATGCAGGGAAACTTTAGAATCACTATCGAGGTTCAACAAAGTTACACTAGCGTGGGTACCAGGACACAACGGTGTCACTGGAAATGAGAATGCTGACTTTCTAGCCAGGAAAGGAGCAGAGAACACCTATGTTGGACCAGAACCAGTGGTAGGGCTCACTGAGCAATCGCTCAAAGCGTTACCCAAGAATTGGTGCAGAGAACAACACAGGAAAATCTGGAAGTACTTGGTAGTACCTAGACAATCTAAAATGTTTATCAAGACCCCTGGTTTATTGCTGGGTGATCTTAATAGCATGACTAGACATCAAATAAGCACCCTGACTGGTCTACTGACAGGACATGGTCACCTGCTTAAGCATCTTAACGCAATGGGGGTATCGGAATCACCATTGTGCAGAAAATGTGGAGTAGAAGAGGAAGACTCATTTCACATCATGTGCGAATGTGAAGCCTTGTCCACACTAAGATCAAACTACTTGAATAAACCATTTCCTGAAAAAGAGGATATTAAAAACCTAAAACCCAGAGAGATACTTAATTTCGCCAGAAAGACAGGACTCTTTGGTCATCTCTAGAGGTGACTTTATGGTTGGTAATGTATTAACACTTTGGTGATAACACTTAGGTGGGTAAACCGAATCAAGACAATTCGGTATGAGGTGCGCACAAAGGACCAACAGGTCTGAGTGCATGGGCATTATGTCCACCTCAATAATAACTAAAACTAAAACTAAAAAACTACAATATAAAAAAAAATTATTTTGAATTGTTAATTTTTCAAAAAGTTATGGCAATCTTTATAAAAAAGTTTAAAAAATGTCAAAATTAACCGATTTTAAAAATCGTAATTTTTTGGGGGATTTTCACTATTTACAGGTAACAAGGGCAAAATTTTCAATTTTTTAGGGTAATGTCTTCAACTAGAGATGGTTTATAATCTTTTGATGTATCCATGAAAAAAATTGGTCCAATGAAAGCTGAGAAAAAGTAGTGATAGACACAAAAAAATAAACACATCATTGTATAATTATTACCTTCTCAGCTTCGATGCAAAGCTAAAACAATTTAGTAAGATTTCAATGCTGGTCCAAGATGGAAGAATCAATAGTTGTTAATTTTCAAACGCATCGTAGTTTATAGATGTTAATTAATTATAAAAGAATTATCGGTGTATGCGCTTAATATTTTATATCATTTTGTGTTTAAACCGCCTGATAATATTTACATGAATACCAAATTACCTAGAGTAAATTCGTGGTTATATCATAAAAAACATAAATTACATCATATTAACGGCAATGTAGATTATTCAGAACTACAGATGATAATAAAATGTTTGCCAATTTATGTTTACGATTTTATGTTAAAGGTTTACAAAAAATGAAGTTTCTAGAAAAATTTATGAGTAAACCAGTAATCAATATGGAAGATTATGATTGTCCGAGAATTGATACACATTTACATGATTATACCGATATATCAACGATTACATGTTCATGTCATAAACATAATGATGACTGTTGTACGAATAATCGCATAAAAGTGTTATGCATCTGGTTAAAAAGTAATTGTATAATTTAAATATATTTTATTATTGTAACAAGCATATAAATTTAAATTATAGTAAAAATTAATAGTTGTATAATTTTAAGTTTATTTCAATAAATATATTATTCTATATAGTTATTGCATACTAACATTTATTATTTACGATTAAAATATAAAATAATGTCGTTTATTCTCTAAATTGATTGAGAAGTAAAAACATTCTTTCCCATCCGACATAAACTATGTTTTAGAAATTATCGAATTAAATAAACGACATTATTTCACAGTATTATGATTATAATAACAGTACGTATTCTCCTTGATATAATCGCTTACTAATGTTTCATCATTGCGTAAATTAAATTTCTATGAAATTCATTGTTTTCACTCATCAACTGCGCGTGTACATTATAACTCGCACAATTTATACATTTTGATAGCATTGTGTACACAAATTAATCATTTTCAAAAATACATAGAGATACGTAAAATTAAATATACGTATCATAGGTATTGGGTATTTGATACTGCTTGTCATCTTTAAATTCTATCACTATTTTATTTACTTTTTCAGCGTATATAAAATGTTTGTATGAACGGAAAACATACATTCTTCGTAAAAATTATAGATCATGAAAAAATATACAATTTTAATAGTCATTATTGTTATCATAGTTATCATAGTCATCATAGTTATTGCCTCTTTCAGTACTCTTTTTTTTTAATCTCTTATTTTTTTTTCCACATTTTTATCACGGCGCATCATATACGTTTTATTGCAAATCCCAATATATTTTTAAAATTTTTCCACCCATTTCTTCTTTTATAAGACCATGACCTTTTTGTTGACAAGCGACATACCATATACGTTGTTAGGATCATAGTTTAACGTGTCGAATTTTTAAATGTTTTTTTAACATCATCATAAACATCTACCGTTTGTATTTCGTAAAATAGAATCGGTACCCGTGTATAACAACTTACACTTATTTCCATACATTTTTTTCATATAGTTGTAGTGAAAATCGTATATAATAGATTTGGAAATTTCTAATACTGAAAAGCCAACGTAAATTAGTCTATCATATACAATTTCAAATTTTTTTAGGTGGAGGCTGCCATATTACTATTAAAAATAGCTACACAATAGAAATTTGGTTTAGATTTTAAAACACTTATCCCGTATCTTTTCCCTATATTTTTCCATTTACTAACAATTTTATAAAGTACTTTATTCCGGGTTTTCCAGACATTTGTCATAAATGTTGTTAATCGTGAGTTTAAAAAAATCAATTTCGAAAGCCGACTTGGATGCCATACGTTTTTTCGTATTCAAATCTATATATGCCTTCATCCAAGCCGACTGTTCGAGTTTTAATACTTTATTTATTTTTTTTACGTTTAGTCCTAAACTAATAGTCTGTTTTAGAGATTCCGATAATGAATAAAATAATTTTTTTTAACATTTAAATTTAGAATTAATTTTTTTAATTTTGTATTCGGTGGTTTTATATTTTTGGGAAATAATGGCAAGTGTGAATGGAGCACGTGTAATCACCATACTCTAAATTGACGTTTAAAATAACCCCCCAATTATTATCATCATCAATTTCCATAACATCTAACGCATCGATTTCTGTTGTTTTAACCATTTGAAATTTCCAAGTGGATGGTATTGACTAAGCGCTGTGCCATAAAGATTGTTGACATCGATATATAATAAATATTTTGACGGTTTCGACGAGTCGCAATCGTTGAAATATTTATTATTAGCTTCACTTTAATGAGATACGCATTGAGAGACACCCCCACGATATCTGTTATTAATGACACTCATCATCTGGATGTCCGTCATTAATTCCAACTTTACCCTGGTAATTCGTTTCATATCATCAAAGCTTAATCCCAGGGTAGTAATATAATATCAAAGATCAAGCCCATAATTTACTAAACACATTTTTTTGAAATTTTCATAGATATAAGCTAAAAGAAATATATCGATTTTCAAATATAAATCTGAATAATTCCTCAATGTCAAACAATTAAATTTTTCCCATACTTTTTTTGCATGGGCGTAATCTTTATCTGATATATCACTCATATTTTCTAGGAGGTAATATACTTTTGTTCAGAATGTTCATATCAGTTACATACTCGTAAGAAAATACTACCTTATGACACATCATCAATTTTGTACATTCTCCTTGTTATGATAAATTGATCAGGTGTCAAAGTTTCGGCTAATTTTTCAAGAGAAAATGGTTTTTTTAATTGACATATATTTTTTATTCGTTTTTGCCACTACTTCAATACCCTCATCATCATCCTCAAAACCAAGTTCTGTAATAAGAAAGTGAGAATCACAATTCTGCATATTGTGCAAAATTACGGGAATAAAGACGGAACCGTACATTTTAGGTTAAAGTATCTATGCGCAGCGCCACGATATCTCCCCGTTAAGTGACAATGATCGAAAACTTTATCATGATATTGTAATTGACCTTCACAAATGTGACATACAGTTGCTAAGTAACGATCATGTTGTTGTTTTAAAGTTAAAGGTATCATTGATATGGGATTTGAGTGAATGTCGCTTATACGGTTAATATGGTTTCTAAGTCTCTCGATAAACACCATCAGACAATTTTCCCCGCGATATAGCTCCATGCGATCCAAATTTTCATTGTATGAACATTTAATAAAATAAGAAAAACTATGAGGTTCGTGAATATTAATTTTATTTGAAAAAGATTCCGCCGAATTTGGATCGCATGTAGCTTAACATCGACTCGAAATCTGAGTAAATAACAAATTCGACAAGGAATTGCTTATTATAATTTTGAAATTTGATGATGTTTTTGGGGGGTTTTGGTGCAATAGTTTTAACACGCATACAATTTTCGAGCTGGTGAGTCTTTAATTTTAACTCCGAGAAAAAAATTAAAAGGCAACCATCACACAAAAACTTGCGGAAGTTATGTTTTGAAATCTGAGTGGATACCAACTGCTCTAGATTAGAAATACAACAGAAATGCCCGAAGGGTTTATCATTTCTATCTATAAAAAATAAATTGACATGGTTGCTACGTTTATAACCGATTAAATGTAATGGACCCGCAATTTTTCCGTTTACATAAGTATAAACAATAATACTTAAATTATTTTTCTTTTCAAATTTGTTTATATCTGTTAGAGATATAGGTGTGTGAAATGTACTAGTATTTAACTCTGTATTATAATGTAGATAGGATTCGGTCTTAGTCTTATCCACAACACGTGATTGAACCGGACATAAACTAGCAACCACGGTCCAAAAAAAAAACAGTCTTCTACCTCACATTAAATATTTGTCAATCCATTCTTACGGAGTAATTTTTTTGGAATAACCGAATTACACCCTCCCCTCATAGGATCATATTTATAACTATTAATATCCAAAAAGCTATACCCCTAAACACCCATCCACTCCCACACGTTTCAACCTCTTCGGACTTTTTCTGCAGTAGTTATTTAATAGTAGTAATCCACTCGGTAATATTAATCGATGGTGTTAAAACGAAAGGAGCAATAGAAAGAGTATGTGTAATTGTGGATGTAGAAGTACATTAACACTATTATTAACATTCACTATTTTTTTATAAATTGTATCTAAATCTAATGAACTCTTTACCGCAATAGTTTTTTGAATTGATTTTTTCAACACATTTGCAATGTCCAACGCATATTGTTTAATGAATTTAGGGATAATAAACGGATCTATGTTTTCAATTCTATGTGCAACTATATTACCCGAAAAAACTGATTCTATAACTCTTGCACGCGATTTCCTCGCATATCACCTGAAAATAAAAACAAATTTTAGAACACGATTTTGAATTTATTATTGAGTTGATTTTATTACTTTTTGTGATCGATTGTTTAGTCTGCTGCGTGTGTGAAATACCTGTACCAGTCATTTCATTTTCTACACCTGATAATGAAAATGATATTATTAAATAATAATTTCTTTAAATTAATGAATTTTCACTTACATATATCATCAAATTCAATATCTCCTGAAAATCGCTCGATCCCTAAAACATAATTATGGCGTTATTATATAAACAAACGTTTTTAATTTTATAATTACAGTTTTTACTATCTCCTGGATATATATTTACTATCTCTACATCTATTGGGTTTGGATCAATTTTTTTAGCAGTTCCAATTACTTTAATAATAATAAAAGTATAATAATAAATGATTAATTTTTAATATTTAATATTGAACTTACAGAATTTGTCGTCACAGTCTTGCCGTCGGAAAAAGATTTACCTGTGTTCTTATATTTTTTTCTAGTTAATTCTATTACTGTTTCAATAATATAAATTATAATATTAATAATAAAAATATAATAACATTTAAAATATTTTATAGATGATTGATGTCTTTACCTATCATTTGTTATATTTTTTTTTATAAATTTAACCCTTTACCAGCCCACAGGAGGATTCAAAATGACAACTTTTTCAACTTAACTTTTGAAAGTGTTCCGGAAATACTGACACTTTTATATCTTAAATCAAAGCTAATGTAATATACTTTATTATGGAAAAAAAAAATTCGAACTTTATTTTGTCTTGATGATGTTGATGAACAAAGTGACTCTGAGAGATTGTACGTGCAAATGTTTTTTAATATCACGTTAACCCGTATTTTTACTTTTTATTAAATTCAATTTTCGGATTAACATCGTTAGTGTTTCCAGATATTTTTATTGATATATAGTTTAATTGTGATCAAAGTTTACTATATTGTCCTTTAATACACAATAATTTGAGTAATAAGATGATGGCATCATTTTGTCACGTTAATACTATTATTTCAACAACCGTTACTAGATTTGTGCTCTTTTTCCCCGTTTAATACAATCTTAAGATTTACATCGATTCTTTTGTTTAAATATTCACGAGTGTATGAAAATCTTGCGGGTAAATAAACTTGAAATAATAGTTCATCATCAAGTTTTACTTCAGCCACTGGTGTATGAAAGCAGCGCCCGATGGTATTCAAGCGCGTTAGTTAACATTCGTGGTTTTATTTTGTCCTAAGTCTTTAGCTATGTCAAGGATAAGGAATAAGGTGAGTTTACTGTATGTTTGTATGTAAAATGAATTTTACAAAATATAATTATAACAATTAAATGTATTATACAAGAAATATAAATTTTCATATACACCATCTTTAAATCTTAAATACAAAACTACTGGCTCGCAAGCGCCATAGAGCTTAGAGCGAAAGATGTGTTAAGATGGCAGCGACAATGCAGACATAGAGAGAAGACCGACAATAACTCAATGTTGCACAATGATAACATGAATAATAAGAACACAATTTCTCGACAGCATATTCGACCGATGTGTATCCAACAACTAGAGTCTCATTCGAGTATTTTGATTTGACCACATATATTCCCAGAACCTTATACTCTACTTTTATTTTAAGATCGGATACACACATTCAACGTTTATTTTGATTACCATTCAACCAATCTTTATTTATCATACTCATCTATGATATATAATATACAGAACATAATAAAATATTCCATGCTGTATTTTAATATGAATTATTGAGAAACTTACTTTTAACTGATAATAGTCTTCAAATTAAAATCTATGATGATTTTATACCACTTTAACGTTACTTTGCAGAAAGCAAATATCACCGATTATAAATTAAAAATTAATGAACTTTATTTAAAGGAATTATGGTTTTTATACTAGAATGAAAACGTATATATAACAACTATTGATGGAGGGAAGAAATAATATTTCAGAGTACACATAAATAAATTGGGATGATATCAAAAGAGATACCGATTGATACATTTATTTAAATTTTGATGGAGGCGCTATATTAAATTATTCACTTCACTGATAAACGATTATCTTTTATTTTGATAAAGAAGGCGCCCTCAAAACATACATCACAGAGGTCAAATTTTTTTTATGCAAAATAAAGTATATTACATAAGCATTAATTTAAAGTCTATATAAAAGTGTCAGAATTTCCTGAACACTTTCAAAATTTAGTTAAAAAAGTTAATTTTTTGTGAAAAAGTTGTCATTTTGAATCCCTCTCTGTGGGCAAGTAAAAGGGTCAGATTTATAAACAAAATTACAAAATTATAGGTAATTACCTCATGTATCTATAAAAAAAAATTATATTGGTTTGGTCATTTTTAAAAAAGATTGCGTCAGAACCAGTAGTCGCATTTCTGACAGTATACAAAGACGGATGTCGCGTGTATGGTGCTACATAGTTGGCGGCCCTGATTGACGAATACGATACAGCCAGAAATGACGAATCCAAGAATGTACGACGTTAGCAAAAACCAGCCCTTGTGTCGCTATAGAATTTACTTTTCAAAATATTGAAACTTTGTATATTAAAAAAAACAGCACGATATATACAAAAAGTAAAAATGAAAATAGTAATTAAAATTTACTAGAACGCACTAGATTAATAAGACTTTTGTAGGACGTACCTTGCGGACACTTGGGTATCGTATCAACACTTACTGAAGAAATATAGAAAAATGAAGTAAAATTTTGACTATAGTTGATTCTTCAGTAGAAAAGAAATTTTGATCACACCGCTGCCACCAAATTTTGTGACCGGGCAGGTACGGTAGACAAAATGAAGAGATAATGCATTTAAATATTAGTTGCTATTTATTATATTTAAATACATATTTACACTTATAAATGATTTTACTACTTTGAGTAATTACTTAATTAACAAAAGATTCCGTGAAAGTCATTCAGTGGACCCTATATGACTTTTGAACGAGACGCTGTCGTCCACTGGCGCGTCGCCTCAGACGGCGGTCATAAGCCCAATACTTTGAAAAGGGCTGAGCAAGCATAAAATTTTCTAGTAGGACTAGATGATTGCCTGGTTAATATTCTATACACAAGACAAAGGGGCTTCCGTTCCCACGATTAATATACAAGGTGGAACGGATCTAACTGACAACTCATATAACTTATGATCTACATAATATTTTATACTTTTTTTTTTAAATCAATTTTTACAATATAGAACTATATTTAAAATATGTTTTATGTTATTTTTCGTAATTATAAAAAATATTTTAAAAATTAATTTTTTTTATTAAAATATTTTTTAAGATTTTAAGATAGCCATTTTATAGATAAATTTTAAAGAAAAATATTGACATCAAAAACTCTTATTTTAATTCAGTAGTTACGTTCATACAGCATTTTGAAGTTTGTTAAATTTTAATTTTTTTTACAATTTGCCTATGGTATCAAATGTTAGTCCATATACAAAAATACAGAAGTAAACACTTATTACATTATTTACTGTTAACAGTACGCGATTTCTTTTCCATGAAAAGTATTAACGACATTATTAGACGAAAAATAGCGCTTTAATAGTTCCTATGAATTTGTAAACTAAGTAAATTAATTTAAAACATTTTAAACTTAAGTACTACGCACATTATTATTATTATCATTATAGTCATAAATTACTTCAGAATTAGTCAACCATTGAGAAAATGAAATAGAGAATTTTTTATTTTAATAATTTCTACAATAAAATATTAATTTTTTTTATTTAAAGGTGTTTTGAAATCATTAGTATTTTCTTGTTATTTAATTTACATAATTCTAATCTGAAACTTGTGGAAATGGAGTACTTGGACTTTCCTTATGATCTCTCACTCCTAAACAATGTAATTTATCATCATAAAAAAAACCTAATTTGATGATCATATCTGAAATGCGTTTTATAGCTGTATCAAGCTGAGGAAAAATTCTCTCAACTTTATATTCTAATGTTACTCCCTGTTTAAATGCTCGATGATTTACAGTTAGTGTATTTTTCATTCCATTTTCGTTAATCATCGGTTTCATATAATGATCCAAAAATTTTTTTATCTTATTATATTCAGCACATAGATTTAGCATGTTATTATCAGATTCTAGATAAATCATTGGAGATATTATAATGATGCGATCGATTACATCGTAAATATCGTTCTTTAAATCAAGATTATCCAACCATCGACATAAATGAAGTAAAGAATTTTTCATTTTAGTAAGTTCGTTAATAAAAAGATTAAGTCTGGAATTTAAAGGTGTTTTACAAAGTTCAGATTTCAAATTTTTACATAATAAATATAATTCCATTACATAGAATAAATAGAACTTTAATTCCTTTCCATAGTAGCAGCTTAATAATAAATGATACTGCATTATCTTTTCTACGAAGTTTTCATTAGTAACATATTCACTAGTATTTAATGTTGTAGGAAACAATATTGAACTGTCAATTATATTCGATACATTAGTTATTTTGTTAAAAAACACGAACTGTGGGTTAGTACAACTTAAAAGCGATTTCAAATTTTCAATACCATCTTTCCAATAAGGATTTGTAAGCATATAATTTACATCGTTGACATATTCATTTCCTTTTGATGATTGAAAAGTGATATTACTCAGTAAGAAAAAAATCAAATATTTTTGAAACATAATTAATACAAAAGACCTTTTACAAAAGTAAGTTATAAGATAATGACTAATTTTTAATTCAAAAGTTGAACATTAAATATAAATTATTCGATAAATTTAATAAGTTTATACAGCTGTTGACAATAAACTCTAAATGTATAAATTTTAAAAGTCATACCTACAATTATTTGTTTAAATCTAATATAATATTGATAAATTTATTTATCACCTGTACAAATTTTGTCAAAATCGAGCGTACGTGAATTGTAAGACATTATTTTAGTATTTTCTTTGGTTTTCTGATACTGTAACGTTGAATATTAGTTTTAATAAAAAATAAAGAAAAATTTTTTTAGACAATAATATCTTATAAATTTGTAAACAATGTTAGTATCCAAAAAGTCATTAATAATAATATGTGATTATTTCAAAAACCGATATAATTCAAACTTCGAGCTTAAATCCGCACGTGTTAACCATATTAGATTGCCCTCAAATTGTGCAAATATCATTTTAATACTAATAGGAACATAAAAGTGCAGGCACTCAAAAAATGTCCAAAAATTCGTAAAATAGGGGCACCCAGTGGCGCTAGAACCGAGAGACAGGGGGCGCAGTTGCCCCCCAGGAAACTCAAAAAAGTAAAGTTATTATTTCCTCCCCCCAATGGAATCAAAAAAAAAATTATTATTAAATTTCTGTATTTATATTGTCAATAATTATTAATAATATAATAAAAAATAATATATATTATCAAATGTAAAGTTTATAAACTAACATATTTTTTATATGATCACTAAAAATCATCAAAAAAGTTTTAATCGCTTTTTTAGCTTTAGCAAAGAAACTTATTCTTAGTCATTTAATTTTTGCACCTCGTTTAAAAATTGATTCCGGCGCAGATAGTGGCACCTTAATGTTTTATTTTCAATAATATAGTTTTAAGAAACAAATTAATGTATTGTATGATATTATTGATTTTTACGACTAGAAAAAAATAAGGTTGGGTACAATATTTGGAGCGGAACGGGGAAGATTTTTAGGTGACGTAAGTGTTTTGTACATTTTTCATAAGAAGAAGAAATTACATTATAGAGTATTCCCTATTCTAAATTTTGTTAACTGCTTTTTTATTTTTAGTTAAATATTATTTTCTAATTATTAACTTAAAGGATGGTAATTTATAAACTACACCAACGGACAAAATAGAAACCATATTTGTCGATAAAGTCATAATTGACATTAAAAGTTGCATATCTGCGAATAGTGACGTTGTAAAAAAGCATTGCACTGTCTATATTTGTATTCCCTCATATATTATAAATATAAATTAAATCAAAATTCAAAACTTTAAAGTTTTATATCTAATAAACGGATGTGGTTATATTAAAAATTCAAATGCCATTCATTATTAAAATAAAATCTCAAACATTTTATTAAATTCAAAATAAGTTCTCATTTGAAAAAGCTGTCATCATAACAATACTTAATGGATGAACTTAAAAAGTATTACATATATAATAATTCGAGAATAATATGTAACTAAAAGTAAAAAAAAAAATGTCAAAATTATTTTTATTTTGCGAGTATTTGAATGGGTCATGATTTAATAAAATTACTCTATATAGATTTATTCAGATTACTGTATATTTAATCTAAAATATCATTCAGATGCACGTTTCATTAAGTGTATAGGTGAAATACAAGTTCACTATTTTTTATTTAGTTATCATATCTAGATAAATTTATCTAAATACCGCTCAACATTGATTCTTATGTATAAGAATAACACACATAAAGTGATTACATAAATTTTCATAATTTGAAGCACATCTGTATCTTCTGAACGTTTTTATTGTTATGCAAAAATAGTCTTATAAATATTTTCAATGAAATATTGGTAAAGAAGTTAAAAAAAAATTCAAAGTGTATACATCAAATTGTATACACTTTATTTTTATACATATTGAAACCACTTAATAAGGTAAGATTGAAATTAAAAACCCTTTTTGTTGGAGTACTACTCTAATTGTTGTATTTAAATATGAAACAATCTTTTTGTTCTAACTTATAGTTATAACAGTTCAATAATAACGCAAAAATGTAATTAATAAAGATATAATCAAACAAAGTAAAACATATAAAATAATGATACACTTAAAACAGGATAAATAAATAATATACAAAATGAAAACTTTATGTCACAAACGTACCACGCGGAAAGAGATTACCTTCGGTACTCCCGAGGTCTTCT